GACCTGTGGAACGCGGAGACGATGCTCGCAGTTTCTGCTTCTATGATTCGTTCTTATAATATAATATAATATAATATAATATAATATAATATAATATAATATAATATAATATAATATAATCTAATCTAATCTAATCTAATCTAATCTAATCTAATCTAATATAATATAATATAATATAATATAATATAATATAATATAATATAATATAATATAATATGTATATATATACATATATATATAGAGATATGTATGTATGTATGTATGTATGTAGGTAGGTAGGTAGGTATGTATGTATGTATGTATGTATATATATATATAGGTAGATAGATAGATAGATAGATAGACCCCAAAACCCTATAGACCCCCTAAGCCCCCAAACCTGGATCGCCGCAGCCAAGGGCCTGGCGTCTCTCCGAAGATGGCTCGCGCTTTGAGGCGCTACAAGAGGGTCCATCACGGTCGTTTGCCCCAGTTTGTCTTCGAACAAAGTGCAAACAGCATGGAAGGGTCCATACTTTCGCATGTTAGGCTTGTTGAACATGGCGTGGACGTTACCAGGGTTTGGGCATGGATGCACTGGCCAATGGATGGGTTGGTAGCATGGACGTTACCAGGGTTTGGGCATGGATGCACTGGCTTATGGATGGGTTGGCGGCATGGACGTTATCAGGGTTTGGGCGTGGATGCGCTGGCCAATGGATGGGTTGGCAGCATGGACGTTATGGACTGTTGAGAAAGGCCCTGGCAGAGAACCTTCAGTTCTTCAGCCCGTGCGTTACATACGACTTGAAGTCACAAGGTGCTTCAAAGTGCCAGTAGTATAACAACCGAGCCATGCACGACGGTATGATTCTATATATGGTTGCCTGGAGGTGGTCTGAATGGTTAGGGTCATCCAAGTTCTTGAGCAGGTTCGGGCAATGGAGGATGCCAACGTTGACGAGGCCGGGACATGGGTAGGACCTTGGGAGTCAAGCTGGCACTTCCTGACCAGTGCCTCGAAGCAGAATCTGCTGCTGATCCCAAGTTGTTTTGCTTGCCTGCGAATGCAAACTAAGAGCGCATGCGAGAGAAAAAGAGAGAGGGAGAGTGAGAGAGAGAGAGAGAGAGAGAGAGAGAGAGAGAGTCAGTCAGTCAGTCAAGGAAAGGAAAGGAGACAGAGGGCGGGAGCTAAAACGAGAGAGCCGGAGCAAGGGCGAGGTGAGGAGAGGGCAGGGGGGCAAGGGGGCGGGAAAGTCGCGCAGGCAGGGCAGTCGCATTCTCGAAACGGCTCAAGCTTTTTAGCAACAGCGGGGCAAAGCGGTAGAGGCATCCATCGACTTCTTCGTGGCAGGTGTGCCCCGTGGCCCAACTGCCGGGAAGTTCCTCATGAGGCTTGTGTGCTTGACTGCTTTCCTGGGGTCGTTGAGCTTGGTGCATTCAGCTACCAATGCTGAATGGGGCAACAGCATCAACATGGCAGGAATGCAGCGAACATTGAGCCAAAGGATGTCGAAAGAGTTCCTTCTGGTCTCCCTTGGCATTGACACTGCCACTAACAAGGTGAAGTTGCAGCAGAGCGTGCGGGACTTTAACAACACCTTGCATGCCCTGATCACGGGAGACCCTGTTCAAGGCATTGTTGCAGCACCCAATGCTCAAGTTGCTGAGAATCTTCAGGAGGTGCTGAGCCTTTGGGTGCCCTTTGAGACCTTACTCACCAGCAGTGTGGATTCTGTTCGCTCAGCGGACGGCTCGATCAACATTCCTGTCCTCGAGGCCGTATCCTCCCAAAATGGTCCACTGCTCGATGCTTCCAACGTGGTGGTTGGTGGGCTGGTGGATGCCGCCAAGGTGGCTGGAGCATCTACCAATGGTCTGGTCCAAGACATTGCCGGGCGACAGCGGACGTACATCCAGAGCCTGTGCCTGAAGGCTCTCCTGATCAGCCAGGGCGTCTCATTGTCCTCGAATAAGGCCTCGCTGAAAGAGACGAAGCTTCTCTTCGAAGACTCACATACGGGCATCATTGAAGGTGTCCCCTTCGCCGGCGTACCAGTCCTCACCAATATGTGCACGCTCCATCAGATGTCCGAGGTCACTTACTACTACTCGAGTTTCCGACCACTGGTGAATGAAATCCTGAACGCTCACACGGTCCAGTCCAGTCAGCAGACGGCCTTGCGCCTAGCACCGAACATCGCCAACCTCACCGAACCTTTATTCGATTCCATGGTGTTGGCCGTGCAGTTCTTCAACAACAAGTCCATGACCTGCGATCCGATGTCCTCCATGTCTGATGAGGATTGGCGCTCCTTCATCGACACCTTGGGAAAGCTAAGACTGGAGACGCAGCAGGTGTCACAGTACTTCATGCAGGTGGCCCTTGGGTCCAATGTGCATACCAGCAAGGTCGAGATCACAGTGATGATCTCGACGGCCTTGCAGCAGGTACGCAGCCTCCTCGAGGGACGAAAGGCAGAGGGGATCCCTGCCCCGCCAACACAGGGCGTGGTGGATCAGATGTTGATCGCAGCCGAGACGTGGAGTGTGCTTGAGACAGAGTTGACACAGGCAGTTCGGGCCGAGGCCGTCACACCGATCATGGTAGACCGGGTTGCGCTGCTCAGTGCTGACGTCCTCGACCAGCTCTCGACGGTCATGGAGATGACAGTGCAGGAAGCCTGGGGAGCCAGCCCAGCCACGCCCGCCTACCTGATGGATCTCACAAGCAAGCAGTCGATGCGCTTGTTCAAGATGTCCAAAGAGGCAAGCCTCGCGCACTACGGTGTACAAGTTGATGCGAATTGGATGGCACTGAATGCAACACGTGATGCCTTCGTGGCGGCACACAGGAAGCTTTTGCTGGGAGCTCCTGCCCAGAATGCCACCCCAGCTTTGCAACAGCTCTCCCAGCTTTGCATCATTCAGCGCATGCGTGAGGTCGATGACTTCTACCAGCAACTCCAGGAGTCTGCTCTTGCTGTCGCTCATGGCAGCTTCGAGGCCATGGCGGAGCTGAGCCAGTTTGACAAGCGTGCCCTCGACGCCATGTCAGGTGCTTCCAAGGTGCTGGTGTCTGGAGCATGCGAGAACGCGACGACGGAGGTGGTGGCACCCCTGCTGGCTTGGCTGGAGCTGCATCAGGAGGCCGCGGATTTGTCGCGCCTAAGTCAGGATGCCACGGCTGCTTTCGTCATCGCCCAGGAGGGAGGTGGTGGCAGCTTCAGTTCGCTCAGCACTGCGGCCGAAGATGTGAAGGCATCCTTCCACCGGCTCATGTTCGGGTCTTGGAAACCCCATGTGGCAGCACCGCCCACACAAGCGCTCTTGGAGCATGTGATGTCCACAGTCGAACCTGCAGTGGAAAGGTTCACGCAGGCTTTGTCGGGAACTGACGTGCTCAATGTCGAGGCTGCGGGTGTGAGCTTGCTTGGCGTAGCGGAGGTGCTCCAGGCCAAGTACCTCAAAGGTGCTCGGGAATCTGATCCGATGTGGCCAGGCGCCAGGGTGGATGTACTGATGTCGCAGGCAGCCCTTGCAAGTAGAGTTCACAAAGAAGCTTTACTGCACGTCTACGGCTTCAGGAAGTCGGATGCCGAACTGTCGTCTGCCATTAGCGAGTTTGAGACATCCCATCAACGTCTTAAGGATGGTGGGGGAGGTCTGGAGCCCGTGATCGCGGAGCGCAAGGACATCCTTGAGCAGTGGGAGCAGATAAACCAGGCATGGCTGTCTTTGAAGAGCCAGGCGAGGTCGGCCACCAGTGAAGACACTTGGAGGGCTGAGGATGCCATGACGCAGGTGATATCGCAAATCCAAGTCGCCATCCCGCTCTATGGCATGGAGGATGTTGAAGCACCAGAGTCTTTTCCCTGGACGTCTGCAATCTACATAAGTGTCTAGGTGGCACTTTGCAGCACTTATTTATTTCCCTTTGTGGTTCCTATGGAGGTGCCTATTCATAAACATTTTTGCAGGGTCCCAAAACTACAGCCCAGGTGTAGCAGTTTGCCTGGTATGTTGCTGCTGCACCATAGCATACTGCCAGTGGGCTAAAGACCGCAGCCGGGCCCAGTCCTCTGACAAGGAGAAGCAAGGTGCTAAGAGAGGGACTCTGGCGGATGAGGTCTGACATAGTTCTGAGCATACTAATACTAATTATACTTCAGTGGGTGAAAATTTTATAATATGATGTTATACAGCTTCTGTTCAGTCTGATCTCGCCAATTCCGTCCCAGCCTTTGGCCCCCTCGGTAAGGATTAGATGGCCTATAGGGGCTTAACCTAAGCGGATGCACCATCTCAATGCTAAGAAGCATGGGCGTAGGGCCATCTATCTAGATTGGATGTCTTATTTGTACAAGCTGTGTGGGCGTCTGCCTTGTCGAACCGGATGATTTAAGGTGTCTTATAAGTGTTTCTACCCGACGTGACTTAAGACTCGGGATCTGTTCATCCGCCTTGACAAGGGTCAGGAAATCGGCTCACGGCGTTTTACAAGTTGGGGAGATCACACAGGTTTCTCGTGCAGGCTCTGAGATCGTAAAGTTCTCTGGCCCCCGTAAGACTAAATATTCGTTTTCAACGAAGCAGAAGCCTGGCACCACTGCAGCTCACTCTTGCAATGGTTGGCTCGGCAAGAGTTGTTCGTAGGTCGTGAGTAAGCTGCAGGACCAGTGCCAACCAGCAGGCTGTGCGCAGCCATGCGGAGGGCTTTTGTTTTTCAAGTCGGGAAGTGCTTGCTGTCGGAACCTTGATAGAAGGGAGCAGCAGGTCGTCGACGCTTCGTTTCAAGGTGGCTGAAGCCGGAGCCGGGAGCCCTGAAACATTTCCTTCACAGGCTGTAGAGAAGAAATGAGGCAACAAATCTCGCAAGGGCTCGCGGGAGCAACCTGCGCTCTCTTTAAATTGTGTTTGGTTGCGCGCTTTGGCTGCCAACTTTGGCTTGGCTGCCGGTGACACCAAGGATGTCAAAGGCATTCCTTTTTACACACCGACTGCCACCTCCAACTCTGCACCGCCTATGCCGACAGAGGCGGAGAGCTTTTCCTGCACACAGCAGAGACTGCGTGTTTCCAGTTCCCAAGAGCTGAAAGCGGTTCTTGGGCAACCTACGTAACCTCTGAATGGGCAAGAGATTTGGTATGAAGTCCGGGAGGTCTCAGTTGCCAAGTGGAAAATCGTGGAGTGACGTCTCCTGGCTCATGGTGAGTGTGACAGACATGAAAGAGAATGTCTTTCGTGTTAGCCCCCGAGAAAGCATGCCTTTACCGCCCTCAACCCCAGCCCCTAAGCGCTAAAATCTGCACCGAAACTCTCCGAAAACCGGCTAAGCCCTGAGAGCGTTCAGGAGGTGCTGATTTCCTACGGCGAGGAGACGTCTGCTGGGGGCTTGCCAGATTGCTGTTGGCATAGCAGACTGAACAACGAGTGTAGAGTTTTCGACTTCTTAGCATTGCATTGCCACTTGAAGGTTTCTGGCGACATGAGGGTCTTTTGAGGCAGATCTTGAACCTCATGTTCGAGATTATGCGGGCTACAGCCCGCATGCCTCTACCACCGTCGAATTCAGATCCCGACCCGGGCCAGCCAGGCACTGGGTACTAATGGGCCCTCTCCCCATTCCTGCCCCTCTCGCAGTACACTTGGCTAGACTGCCATGGCCAAATGCTTAACGAGCACCGCCTGCTTATAGCTAAAGACTTCCTTAGAGCTTGCTGGCATCCCGCATTAGTAATTGATAGTACCAGACTGTTATAGTCCCGCTGACCAGAATAGTGGCATAGACCCAAAGCCCGATTCTGATGATGCCCAGGTCCCTCATCTCATATATCTCATCTGGAGCCTAGCGATTGCGCACGTTGGCTGTTTTGGCTCTCAGATAAAAGGCCAACCACATGACACGGCACATCGCATGTATAGCTACGTAGACATGGGTTCATACTTCATACCTTGGGAACTGCTTGTAAAGAGCTTGTTTGCGAGGTTCCAGTCTGGACGACAGCACATCAGCTGGCGAAGCTGGGCACGACATAAGCTCCCGGGGTTTCAAAGCAGTAGGGTCTCCAACAGAGTTCATGGCAAAAACGATGGCGACCGCCATATCCAAACGACGCGCTCATCCACTTAGCTGCCTGCTTCTCCTGTTCCTCGGCAGTGGAAGAGCCCGAGTCACGGCAAAGACGATTTCTTACTCCAAGCCAAGTCGCAGTCGCAAGGCGTCCTAAATCGGTGACAAACAAGCTGCACACCCCTAAGCCCTAAGCCCTGAACTCTCGACTGCTGGTGGCGTTGTGTTTCTTTGCAGCAGGTTTTTGCTGGTCTAGGTCTTGGATGGTCTTGGATGATCTTGAATCGCTTGGACCAGAGACCCGGAACCCCAAAGATCTTACCCAGATCATGGCCTTGTTAAGCTTTAATCCCGGCTTTTTGCATCCTTATGTTGCGGAGTATCAGACGAGGGTCATGATGTCCGTCAGCAAGCCCACCAGACCGTCGTATGCGCCCCGCCCAGAACTGTCTGAGAGTGAGCGCCGAAAGCCCTTGGCGAAACCCGGCGAAGGAGCCTGAAGAGAAAATCGGCCTTCCAAGCTTCCTCAACCCCTACTGTGGTATACTACGCCTAAGCCATAACCTAAACCCTATAAGCCCCAAGCTTCCTGAGCCAATGTGTGCCCTTGCAGTGTGCCACGCAGAGGAAACATGGGGGGTACAACTCCTGACTGCTCCATGCACGAAACCTCCAGAATCAGCACCTAGATAGTTTCTAGACGACGGCTGTCCTCAACTACGGCACCCTGCGGAGTCCCACAGTACAAGCATGTTCGGTATCATAGGGTGGTTTCCAGGAAATGGCCACTAGTCACTGGTGTTCGAAAAACCCGACATGCCTTCGCAGCCCCACCAACTGGCTTTGCAAGGCTACAGGTCGCCGTGCCTGTGGCCCTAAACATGCCCTAAACCACGGTCATGCAAGAGACTGAAGTAAACATAGTCTCAGAAACCCACCCTGCAACCCAACAGCGGGGAGACCCCTAAAGCCCTAAACCCCAAACTCCTAAACTCTAAAACCCCAAATCATAAACCCTAAAACCCTAAACCCTACAAGCCCTAGGCCCTAACCCCCAAAAACCCCCAAACTCCTCAGGCTTAGTGTGCCTTTGCTTCGGAGCCCCGGCCGCTCCAATGTCGCGGCCGGGCAAGCGGCCGGCAATGAAGCGGCACTCCGATGACATATTATAGGGTTAGGGGTTTAGGATTTAGGGTTGAGGGTTTAGGGTTTAGGATGATTTCTGTTGTAGGGTTTAGGGTTTAGGATGGTAGAATATGATGTAGGGTTTAGGGTTTAGGATGATATATGTTGTACTGTAGGGTTTCGGGTCTAGGATGATATATGTACCTTGTAGGGCAAAAGGGTTTAGGATGATATTTGTTGTAGGGTTTAGCGTTAGGATGATATATTTTGTGCTGTATTTGACAGTCAGTAGTATAAGGGGTTGCTAACAGGAATACCAATTAAGAGGTTTTATGCGAGTTGCCAAAAGCGTTCCTTAAAGGGCACCTTGCGGATACTAGTACATAGGGGTTTTTACAAGGGTTGTCAGCAATGGCATTGCCCCACAGGGCTTGAATAATTACCAATATTGGAAATATTTGTAAACCCTACTTAAACTCCCAAAGACCTAAACTCGAAGCCCCCAGAAGTCAGGTACTTGCCGGCGCCATGCCAAGAGTTTTCGCGGCATCCAGGCCCTTTGGAATCTCGGGGCGTCAAGATTTAGGGTCCAGTGGTAAGATTCAAAGATTTTGGGCAGTTCAGGGGTTTTAAGAGTCCGGCTTGCCGGCATACACCCAAAGCCCGTGCTGCAGAAAGCTTTGTGTTGTTGGACTTAGGCTTAGTCTAACGGTTAATCTTGCTAGACTTCTAGGGTTTCGTGTGTCTGTCTAGGGTTCAGGCACTTGAGGTTTCAAGGTCTACAGGGGTTCTCAGATTTTTGTGGGTACATGGGCGGGATCCAGGGGTCTGCTCGTAGTTAGGATGGACCCGGGGAGACTCTACTGGCCTAGGTGGAGCTCCAGGGGCCGAAGGGACCAAAAGGCACACATGCACAACAGCACTCATCATCAATGTCAGCTCACCGCAGCCATACTGGCTATGTTCTCTGACTTCAGCAGCTGCATTTGTGCCTCACTGCTTACGGCTTGTCATTATAATGCCCAAAGTCATTATTTGACAGCCACTCGAACGGTCATAAGTTACCGCTGCATATGTTATTCTTTCGCTTTCGCTTCTTCGTCATCTCAAATGCTCAAGGGTGCGCCCATCCTCCCATGCTGCCTCTGGAGGTACTGGAATGGATGCATGTGCACCGCCCAAGCAACGGACACTCGAGGCCGACGGCTTGGTTTCACGCGGGGAAGGTTGCATGACCCTGTCGTCTACTGAGTCTGGCACATCAAACGTCTTGGCCACCAAAGATGGAATCAACCAAACGGAGCCTAAGTGCTTCGGCTGAGTCGTGGTGGCAGCAACTTCGTTCCGTACATGTAGCTGGCAAAATGCTGCAAAACCTCTGGCAATCCCGAAGGCCACAGCGACAGCGACAAGCATCCCGACTTCAGTGGAGTTTGGCGACTGGCGTCTTGGCCAGCATCGGGTTATGCCCTATTGTCCCCGAAATCCTGGCCGTGTCAATTCTGCGAAGTGCGCAGAGCGTTCGCAGCAGAAGGGTGCAGAAGCTACTGTATATTATGTTATGTCAATGTTTTATTTTATGATCAGGCTCAAATTGTGGCTGTTCGTTAAGATCCTTAATTTGCAACCGTCTTCAGCGTATTCACAGCATCATATATTCCCGATCCAATCATTTGACCTCGGAACAATGGAAAGTTTTGAAAGCCTGGGCTTCATAACCCTAATTTAATTCTTGGCCAATGTCATTTTTCTGGAAGTTGTGGATGCCAAAGGTACAGTACGCATTCATATGTAATCAGGGGTCTGAACAGTTTGTACCCTGCACACTGTGCATACATTGTCGGCGTTGTGTTGCTGATGCTGCCTAGGAACGCACTGAAAACCTCAGCGACTTCATGCAGGCATCCGCCATGAGCATGGGGTTTCCAGACTGGGCTTGAGCCCAAACTGTGCGGAGGGTATAGGGTTTTGGGATTTTTCTTGCAGGCTTTAACCGATGAGCCTCAAAAAAGCTAGACTGCTGTTTCTTTACAATCGGCATTTTGCTAGGAAGGCAGAACGGGGTGGAATTGAATAGTACGGCATCTGGTGCGGCCGTTCGTTCGCATGAATGTCTGTGTGTACAAGGCACAGGTGTGCCGGTAAACCGAAGGAAGAGAGAGTGAGAGACAAAGCTTGGTGCACCGGGGGTTCAATCAGTCCCTGAAATCGCTGTGCTTTGGAAGAAGGAGACGGAGAGAGTCACTCACACCATAGTTCGTGATTCCCACTGCGGGCAGAAATACCCACCCATAGGCCCCTACGTAGTTCCGTTTTATGGTTTATATTTAGAGTCCTATCAGGTAATCCCAAAACGGAACTACTTAGGGGCCTATGGGTAGACCGGTCTCTTGCCAGGCCTCTCGAAGTGAGCTATGCTGAGCTTTGTGTTGCTGCCTGGAGCAGGCAATTGGCTACAATTTCCTCCTCGCCAAGGCATGCCGGACAAAGGTTTTCAGTGTTTTCAAAGGGTCAAGCCGGCAATTTTCGGCTTGAGGCCGAAAATGGCGAGCATATATTAACACAGCAGGGTAGCGGAGGATGGCTTCGGGACCGATGCGCTGACACCCAACTCCGGAACTCTGAAGCCCAACCAGGCTCTATAGCTACCGGGTATGCCGGCTGTAGCAGGGAGGAAAAGGGCCCGCACTAAAAAAAGAAGGTCAACCTTACACCCTCAACCCAGAATGCACTAAAGCCCTATACACTCTGTACCGGTCCGATGATTTGCCTACCTGGTGAGAAGGGGAGAGTCGAAACCCTGCGCAGGTGTAATATGGGGTTCCTGGGTTAGAATGGTACACCTTTCTGTTCGTGATCATGATTATAGAGTAGAACATCCACCGAAACCCTATGCTGACTAATTACTTTACCAGTCACAGTACCTCTATGTTTCGAGCCTTGAAAAGACCACATGGAATGTTGTTTTAAAGGCTGCCGGCCTCGCTCGCGTGAAGCAGACGATCGAGCAGAAGGAGACGGAGCTGCGCTTCGTCTTCGAGGCTCAAGCGGTTTAGGGTTTTAGGGTTTAGGCTCTCTAGGGTTCTACAGGGTGGGAGCTCTAGCTGGATTTTCCGAGGGCTTAGGGCTTGCGGGGGTTTGGAAGCGGTTCCTTTTCTCGTCAGCGTTTACGGCTGCATGGCTTGGGGGTAGTGTTGGGATCTAACATATTCGGTTGCTAGATCTGGTCCCTTCATCATCGGATCTGGTATTTTCGACAGCGGCCTCATGACATGTAGCATCAAAGAAGAGGAGCTGTGCTTGAGGTGTCTAAGGTGCTGTGTATGAGGCCATGTCATCGACACTGCCTGTTTCTACGCGCTCACATCACTGTTTCCATGCGTGTGATGATGCTGGCAGTAGTAAAGACATTCATTCTGGCAATGCCTGGTTTCGTTCTCCTTTTCCTTAAAAACTCTTGCAAACCTGAGTGATATTATATAAGAAAACTACCCCCAAAAGCACCAGCAAACACAGACACAGACACAGACAGGCACACAGACAGACAGACAGACACACACACACACACACGCGCGCACAGAGAGAGAGAGAGAGACACACACACACACACACACACGCACACATATTTAAGAAAAGCACGCACACACACACACAGGCAAGAACCCACCCATCCACCCACCCGCGCGGACACACGCACACGTACACCCCAAAACCCCACTGGCGTGAAACCCCCACTCTTGGATATTCTTGGCAGGTGAATCCTCCGCTGCTCTCACCCCGGCGAGAGTCCGTGGTGCCCATCGGAGCGCCAGAGGCCGGACAGGGTGGCTAAGTCCGTGGCTTTGCTGAGTCTTTAAATTCAGCTCAAGAGTTTAGGCCCATAGGCTCGGTTCTCGTCTGACAGCCTTCTTTGGCTGTGTGGCTTGACAGAGGCCTTCGCCGAGATCGGCGTAGAGCGTAGTAGGTCTTGAGTATTTCGTGCATGATATGTGAGTTTCAGAGATTGAAGAGAGGGGAGGCAATATATAGAAGACAGACACTGACAAAAACTGCAAGAACCCCGCAAGGCTCCCATGATTCCAAAGAAGACTCCACCCGTCATGCGAACCGGTGTGGTGCAATGCCCGGCTCCGCGAAGCTCTGGCACACTCAAACCTGGAATCAGGGTGTTGCCGGCTGCTTTTCGGCCAAAAACCCTAAGCCCTAAACCCTAAACCCTAAGAAGAGGTGATCTGCAGAACGGAATCCACCCACAGCAAGTTGCCGACATGAGCCCCAGCCGCAGAGGCTGCCCCCCCCCCTTCCCGCAACTGTAATGTAGGGGTCTTAATAATTAGAATAGGGTTTTGGGGTATACTATGCCATAGTTTTAAATAGAGACCCCCAACAAAGTATTTAGGCCCCTAGAGTACGAAAGTACATCCTGAAACCTGGCTCCTCCCTCCAAAAGCTCGCAGGTCTTAATGAGCGACGATGCGGGCCGGGACATGCTGCTGCTGAGACTTGGCGAACTCGGAGCCTCAAGTTAAGGATTAGGTGCAACAGACGATTCCCTCGGAGAGAGAGCCCCCTTTGCACTTCATGATCCATACACGATACCACCGAAGCCCTATCTAGAGATCCTTCAGGTTGTTCGTTTAAAAGAAGCCTGTGTCCCGATGTGGGGCTCTTGAAATAGAGGTCCCTGCCCGACAAAGCGACCCGGAACTTCCAAGGCTCAGCTGCCGTTCCGCCCCTTTTCCGGTACGAAAGCCTGAGTCGAACATTGAGAGGCAACAAAGCATTCTTGACGGCTCTCGCAGCGCCTGTAGCCTACATTGGAGGACAGAGCTTTGGAGCCTGTAAACTTCGTCAACCTGCTAAACTGTCAAGCACTGTCAAGCTCTATTTCATTCCACAACCTTCACGGAGAACTTCAGGGAGTAGCGCAGCACGCTGCAGAAGCCCATGAAGCCGGCTAAACCCTCAGACTGTAAGCCGCAAGCTCCCGAAACCAACTCCAAGACATCCTCAGTCCCAGGAATCCTGCCTGGCAGGGTGAGATCTTCAGTGCTGGCCTCCGTGGCGCGACTGGTGAATTGGGGGGTTTATGTCGACGAAGGAGCTTTTAAGAGCTGTGAAGGGTGTGTAGCTTGCAGGATTTGAGATATGTAGATGTTTTGAGCAGTTTGCTTCGGTCGGTAGCATTCCGAATCCCTGGCGCGGGTCGAGCTTCGTGCTCGCAGTGGGGAAGTTGGGTCCCATGGACTGTGGCCATCGGCCTATGGTATGTTTGGATTTGCAGACATCCCTGTCAAGCTAGCTTCACACGGCAGGTTTGAAATGAGGCTTGCTAGCAATCCTTCAAGCGGGGTGCAGCTCCGAGAAGCTCGAAAATCCGTAAACCCTAAACCCTAAACATGTAGTCTCCAGATACCCATCCAAGGCGTTTTTAGCCCTGCGTGCTCGTGTTGAAAGCCCTATAAGGCCTTAGACCAGATGCCGAAGAAGCAGTTCAATGCAAGGGTAGTTCTCTAAATTGGGGCACCTTTTAGGTCCCCCAAATAGTACGGCACCCTTATAAAGCAGGACCCCACAAGGAATCCTTGTTCATACCCACAAGCCACCTCCCAAACTTTCTATTGCCCCCATCACAGGGTTTTTGACGAAGGCCTTGTCGTTGTGTCTTGCGTCAGCAATAGGTCGACCTGTCTGAGACCTTACTCTTTGTCCTTCCCCTCCTTCCGCAGTCTTGCTATCGGCCCGCAGATGTGAGATTGCCTGGCAAAACCGCACTTGCATTTCAGGAGTGAGTCCTTGAAGGTACACCCAAAAACATGAAGGCAAATTCCCCAAACTATCGGCTCAGGTTATGTGAGCCCCCAGCACGACCTGACCATCGACCGCTACATGGAGGCCTTTTGCCGGGATGGAGATGGCTTGATTTGGGATTGTCATCTTTTAATTGCCAATGGCACCTCGGCTTCTGACGCTAGACTGCTACTGCGGACTATGCAGTTGCTCTTGGTCTTCTTGACATGAAACATATGAAACATATGACATGGCAAGCCGCAAAGTTGTTGTAGGGCTTCGGTTCACAGCTCCAAAAGTGTCCCCTGGCAGTCTGTGTTTATTTTTGCCATAACCCACGCCGGAAAAGTTTTTGCAGAAAAAAGGTCCTGCGGCAGGGAGTCCTCCCGAAGTGTGGTTGGGTTTCCTTCCCGGACGCAGGAGGTTCCAAAATGCATTATGTTGGTCCATTCGTTGCAAAGTCCTTGCGCTTATCCTGGGTTTTCGGGTAGAATTCTGTTTGTCCATTTTGTTCGGGAGCTGCCCGAGGGCGGGAGTCAGCAATGCTGAGTAACTTTTCTAGCTTATTCCTGCTAGCATGACTTGGGTCGGTGCCCCCTTGCCCTTGTACGGGATCTCCGGAAGGGTTTTTTTTTTCCACTGCCTGCTTGACTACTTTTGCTCTTGAATGAGTGCATTCCGTAAATGTGTCACTTTTACGAGTCAACCCGAGACCGAGGATGGGCATATGGTGGAGCATGTGCGCTACCCCGAGCGGGGAATCGAGATGCGCCGAATCTTTCGCAAGGGCTGTTAGGATTCGAGGCTGCATCTGAAATTTTAACAAGTTTTCGGAATTCCAAGGACCGTCTGGACATGTGTTGCAGCGTTACACAAGAGTTGTGACTGCGCGTGAAATACTGGCCAGTCGCGTTCCATGGCGATCTTCCCATAGTTACAAAGCATCATAAGCCATCGGCGGCAAATAGCTCCGAATGGGCACCCGTATGTAGAACTTAGCTGAATTGCAACAAACCTTCGCCCTCAGGCGATTCTCTGTGCCGTACTCTATTCAACATGAGCGGACCCGAATCTAAGCGATCATTTTAGGGCCGCAGACAGGAGGATCCTTCTCCTGGTGATATGGATATCAGGGACGCCCTAACTCTGGGATCCCGCACATAGACAGCGGTGCTTGCCACAAGACAGTTCACTTCCAACACGCTTTGCTTCGCTTGGCTTGGGCTCGGGCTCCTCGTGTAAGTTTGCTCCCGGGTTGTGGTTCTAGGACTCGAAGAGTGTGGGGATTATGGTATTTCACTAGTATTAGAGCAAGCCGCGGGTGATACGTTGGTGTAAACCCATAGTGCGTGCATAGCGCCTGCTTTAGTAGCGAGGCTGACCAGGACTACACCACCAGCTGAAGTTTCATGCACACACCCATAATGTGGTGACTGGGCTCATGGCGCAGCGACGGTCAACATAACTAACGCAGCTCAGTCAAGATGTTGCTTGGAATTTCATGTCCATATCGTTCCTCTTCTGAGCACGGGGAGGAAGGGGCAAGAGCGACGCTATGGTTGGTGCTGTTCAACCAACGCTTGGACGGAATTCGTCATGGTTTCTCAGTCGACAGGCTTGTCGACCAATACTTCATCCACTTTGTGAGGTTGCCGCCCGGAAAAAGGCTAGATAAGCTTGTTTGAACAAGATGCGGATGCCCATACAATAATGAGGTCCCGCAAGGTAAGTTTTCCATGCAGTGTAACTCGAGGTTTCCTCGCTCTAACGCATTGATGCTTGAGAACCCAGTCTCACTGATCATGTTTGTCCAATAATTGATGCCCGGGTGGTGCACCAGGTCTGGTACACTAGTACTGCTCTTGCGTTTCTCCCTCGACGCTTGCTCAGAACAGCTCGGCACGCGGCTTCATCGTCTGGTAGGTTCATAGCCAACTGTTACTGATACTCTGGTACAGGCTTTAGACCCCGCTCTAGGGGATCTAACCGATCTAGACTTGTTTCACGGCCCTACAGGCGAATGGCTGCTTGATAAAGATCTTTGCAGCCTAGTGGCCTAGTTGATATGAGACTGAGAGGACGGCTCGCTCATCCCTGAATGTGCAGCAACCTGTGATCTGATGCCTTTGTTCCGAGAGCAATCACACCGTTTGGGGGTCTTGTGAAACGGTGCACCGCTGCCCTCCACGCAGTCTCAACAGGCGACAAGATGCCGACAGACCAAATTCAAGGATTGTTTCAAGAAGTGCTCCTTCGCGGACTTCTGACAGATGCAGAGGTGACGTCGCAATGTGGTCACTCGTCCGTAGTGGCGCGTTGGCGTCAGGCTTCTGTCGGCCGCCAAAAGTTTTCAACGCCAGGAGGCCAGGGACAAGCAGTGTGCAACCAAGACCTCGTGCCCCTGTCATGGGGGATGGTTTGGTCTAGTCTTGGTTCAATCCGCTACATGAGTCTCTCTGGCAGAATCATGTCTAGTTCCCTTAGACATCTCGCCTAGGCCCGGGAACGACTGCTGAAAGGAGCTTCGAGTTTCCTGAACCTGACCCCACCCTAGGCACCCGAATGTCTTTAGCCTTTTATGATTGTAATGGCCCGATGTCCGTCATGCCGACTCCAGTTTCAATCCCCCCAAGCACGAGCCCCGAAAGCTCGCAGACGCTTGAATTTGCGCGGTGCCGTCCAAGAAAATGTGACAATGTATTATTATTATTATTGCTATTGTTATTATTGTTATCATCCTTATGATCATTCTTATGATGATTATGATGATGATGATGATGATGATTGTTGTCATTATATATATATATATTTGTTTATTCATGTATGTTATATATATATATGTATTAATATTAATATTAATGTTAATATTAGTTTTTAAAAAATAAATAAATTAATATATATATATATACACATACATACATATTATAACTTTTTGTGACTGATGCAGTAAAAGCCTAATTCTGCAGTCGCGACCCATCGAGGATTGGAGGCCGACATCATATCGGCCACACTAGGCCACCAAAACCCTCAATCCTAAACCGGTAGCTAAGTGATGGCAGATGAACAAGAGGGGACAACAGTAATCGGTAGCCAAGTAGGCCGGCGTCATCCCATCACCCAACCCGAGCCCTCCGAAACCTTGCCTTCCCATGACCCCGAGCTCGGATCCCGAATCTGAAGCCTCCTTGCGGTCACTTCCCTGCAATTACATGAGGACTGCCATCACCGGCTAGCTGTGATGGAGTCCTTTGGTATGCTTCATGTATGTTTTGCCTATTTGTAGGTTCTCCTGACTATCGATCCAAAATTTGGGTATGTGTGTATACATGTCAGGCAATCATACATGCAGACAGCTACAGATCGCTGAATGTGCTTGGCTAGCTCCCGATGCTTGCAGACGAGCTGTCTATGTACCTCGTTCCCTTCCTGCCAAATGCGGACTTGGACGCGGTATAAATGTGATTGAAGGAATTCCTATGTAGACGCAGGCGCACGTGCTTGTATCCTCATGGAATCAAACACCCGGAGAGGGTACTGCGAAGCTTTCTGCAAGCAAGCGGGGGCCGCGCGACAGGTGCATTTTCATCCAATGGTCCGAGCAGCAACCCTTGACCGTGGGAGCAGCCATCTGTAGACGGGAGCCAGGGGCTAGTACATCAGGTCTACCTCCTTTCCACACGCTCGGGCACTTCGCATGTAGGTGACCGATGCTACCATGCACTTCTTCGCGTCTCAAGCCGAAGGGTGTTATGGTGCCGTTGGTCTTCGACAGTCTCGTTCAACACATGGTGTTTGCTTTGCTGATCCTCGGCGTTTGATATCCTTGGAGTGCATACCGATGCGAGGCCCCCGCCGTTTGACAGAGATACTGGTATGAGTTTCTCTACCTCTCTTAACGTTGACTGTAAGGCTTTGGCACATCAACCTCCGAACTGAAACCTTGAATCTTCGCTCACACACGTCTCGGATCTTCGGATTTTAATCGCTTGCCCGACCCTGGGCACTCTCGAAAGGGAAGCTGGCGATCAGTTTGCAGCACAGCTTTCTGAATTTGGAAACACGGTTCATCCCTGGTTTGCAGACTGCACGGGGTGAGAGCATAGCAATACTGCAATGTAACCTGTGTAGGGACTGTTGTAGTTACTTATTCCGACCCCTATATTAGGTAGCGATATCAGGGTAAAGCCCAGCAATACACTGTTCAAGCCAAGCCTTGCTGCAACATCATCGCTACGTCTGCTCCCTACATTTCCGGAACGGCCTGCTTGTGTCGTCTGGACGAAGAAAGAGCAGAGCCCGGCGTAGGTGTTCAAGCAGAGAGTGCAATCAATGGTGGTGAAAGGAATCCTGCCAATCTTTGTCCGACGGCTGAAGAGGTCAATTTTCCTGCCTCCTTCCAGCCACTCGCCGCCAGAAGCTTTGCAGACAGATGTCTCGTCACTAGATGCCCGCAAACGACTTTGTGCTTTGGGTTCCGCAAGCACCACAGCACCGCCCGTTGCATTCTGGACTGAATTCAGTATAGTTGACCATTGAGTAGCTCAGACTTACAAAATACTGACAACATCTCAGGTCTACCACGCATGGCGTTGCCTGACTTCCGCTTGAACCTTTCGCCACTATCCGTGAACCGTATCTTGTTATACCGATACAAGTACCCATCCTGACGGCCTAAACACATCCCAAAACAGTCCTAACCGTGTTGACAGCAACTACTACTGGCAGTATTCGTCTCAGAGTATGTGAGATTATCATGTCTGATATCACCAAGGTCACCAAACGCTAAAACCCTGAACCCCTAGACCATAAAGCTTGTTATCACAAGTTCTCGTGCAAACCATCCATTTACTATAGGAACCTTAACAATCAGTAATTGTAAAAAAATTCAGGGTTCCTCCCATAGCATAATACGCCCAAATACGCTTATCAAGGTCCCTACAACCTTTAACCCCGAAACCCTGCCTGGTGCGAGTTTGAGAGTCGAAACCCCTAAAAACCTAAACCCTAAAATCCTAGACCCCTCATCCCTACACACCCCAAGATCCTAAACCCTAATCCCTAGACCCCTAAACCCTAAGCCCTAAACCCTAAGCCCTAAACCCGAACCCTAAAACCCTAAACCCGAACCCTAAAACCCAAAACCCTAAGCCCTAAACCCCTAAACCCCGAGACCCCTAAACCCCTAGACCCCTAAACCCCTAAACCCCTAGACCCTAAACCCCACCAAGGCCGAGATCCTCGCCGTGCATGGCATGGTCCTAGCAGAGAACGAGGCCAGCAATGACCAGCTGCGCTCGGGGTTCAGGGTTTCGGTGTTTTTTTAGGGTTTTGGGGGGGTGTTTAGAGGTTTAGGTTTTAGGGTTTGGGGGGGTTTAGGGGTTTAGGGTTTATTTTGGGCTTCAGCTCGGAATTAGGGAGAGTAGCGGCTAGAGCCCTTATCCGGATGAGGGGTTTAGGGGTTCAGGATTTGCGGCCTGGGAGCAGTGCTTTGAGAGGCCCCTGCATTCCAAACGTCTAGTTTTCTAATAGTTTTGAAAGGTTGCTCCTGGTGCTTGAAGCTCTCAGCAGTTTCATGAAGACCATCTACATAGAAGCTGTTGCACGGAACCCAGGCAATCAAAAAAGCTGATGTTTACAGATCGGAGCTCGAAGTGAAAAAATATCTAGCAGGGCTTTTTGATGTCCAGGAACTGGGGCATAGGGAAACAGCGATCCCAGTGAGATTCTCGCATGTTCCCATGCCAACCTTGCACAGCCCATGCATCCACATGCGTGATTTTGCAAAGCCAAATTCAGACCCGTCTAGGAGTGTAGTTGCTGCACACGAAGACCTTGTGCGAAAGCATCCTAGTCTGAGGTCCAGTATAGTAATTAGACATGTTCTATCGTGTATGATTCCTGAATCAAAACCTGCAACTAAGCCGTCACCCATGAGGCTCGAAAACTGTTGACACCACAGCATGCATGAAGCACGGACATCTATCCCTGTCTGGAGGTTGAGCGACAAACGTAGGAGCTTCTGTTCGTACTTCGTCGTACTTGTAGCAACGTGCCTAGGGAACAGTTGTATGAAGGCTGCACCGGCGCAGGGCTGTACGCGGGGAAGAGACTTTCAGATCTGATGCTCCCTAACAGCATGGAAACTGTGACATGAATTTGAAGAAGTGCCGTGCATATAATTTTGTACATGGGTACATGTCGTGAATCACAGGATGTAAATCAATGCACCGGTCCTTCTGAAGCTTCTATGGTTGTTGTGCAGTTTTGCCATCAGCACACACGGGCTTCTGTGGCTGATTCAACAGAATATCCCAACTCTTATCATTTGTCCTGGACATTCCTAGTCTCATGCCTGGCAAGGAGTACGTTGTTCATCCCCGACACAGATGTCTAGAGCATGCTGCACTTGTTGCAAAGCTGCCATATACAGTCGTTAGCCAAAAAGGGTACGGCACAGGCGAGACTGTATCCTCAGACCGACATAACCGCAAAAGCCGAAGCCCTCGCAGCGCATGCCGCGAGGCTGACTACCTCGAGATCTTCGAGTCGCCGGACGACCTCTTGGCCCGACTCCCCAGCCCCTCCCAGCGTAATAAAGAGGCTTTGGTATGTAGGAGAGGGAATTAGAATAGGGTTTTGGGTTTATAGGGTTTAGGGACTCTAATTGTAGTAAGGAGCACCAAAGTGGTGTTGGTAATTATTTAGGCCCCTGCAGTAGAGCATCGCAGTCGGAAACAAGAACTTCGTAGAGTCGTGGAGAATATGATTGTGGGCCATCACGATTTTCGAAATGAGATATGTTCTGGTCTAGGGCCTCAATTACTAGACAAGGGCTCTTGAGTAGATGCTTCTGTCACTCCGGAAAGATTAGCATTTCAAGCCGCGGAACCGTCAGTCAGCTCAGGTTGCAGTGGAGACGCTGCTGGATTGTCCAGGGCGACGTAAGCAGCGCCAGTTTGAGTTCGAGGCACCTTGACCCCTCCGCAGGTCCGCCTACAACTTTGCACTTACGGGTTGGGCTTCCATTTTCTGGTGTTGGCTGTTATAGGTTTAGGGTCCATAGGACATGTGTTCTTTATTGTTGTTTGTCATACGTCTCATCTGCAGAACACTCCGAAACGGTGTCGTTGGCAAATCTCACCCGGCTTACTGAAACTTTGTCCTGTGACGCACAGAAAGTAATATAGTGGCCTTAATATTTAGAATAGGTTTGGGGTATATTAGACTATAAATATTATGAAGAACCTCCAAAACCCTATTCGAATTATGAAGGCCCCTACATTAGATGTACGAATGATGAGGTCAAGAGCAAGCCTGATCAGCGTGCCCTCGCTTTGCACCTTTAACTGCAGCTGATCGGGGATGCCACCGGTTTGAACGTCAAGTTCCCTATAAAGAACTCAGACAACCAACAGAGTCAGCAACCTTTCTCTCGTTCCAGAGTCTTCCTATAAAAATGCAGCAACCCCCAAACCAAAGTCTGAGCCAGAAAACCCTTCAAACCCTAAGCCTTAACATAGGCCTTAATAAGGAATTAGGTTTTGGGGTAGGTTATAATATAATTATGGAACCCCCAAAACCCTGTTCTAATTATTAAGGCCCCTACATTACTGTCTCAACCCTCCAGCCTCGACACTCTGCCAGACCATGGATACAGACTACGTGCCCCTGGCATTGCGCCCCGGGGGCCCAAGGGCCTGTGAGCACTTGCTCGGCTGTGTGGAGGTGCCTGGGTTACGAAGGGGGGACGTGTACAAAGCGAAGAGCGTGTAGGGTCCAGTTGAAGGATATGAGAAGTTCTGTTGGGAGTGGTTGAAGGTGCGCGGGTATTCTCCGGATAGAAATGCCGCGCTTTTGGATATCCAACGAATTTCGTTGTTTGTTGATTTAGAATGCTCTCATTGGCAGCATCGAGAATACCGCCGTTGAACGTTTTCAGGTTCTCACGAGCCCAGGCGACGCTGCCGTGGTGAACCAATGGCTGTGGCTGACAAGCAGGAGTTACGGTTAAAAGCACCTCTGCTTGGCGAGGCTGCCCTCTGCAAAGACGACGAGTCGGATGCCGAGTTCGTGTGGTTCAAGGATTCAAGTTTTCACACACACACACACAGACACACACACACACACAAAGACAGACCACCGACCGCGCGCGCGGACGCAAGGAGACACTGCAGCGTGCCAGAACAACACTCCTTGTCATTTCTACATGCAGCAGTATCATGTTTGATTAATCGGTTAAAGGCTATAACTTATAACCGGTCCGCTGAGTTTTGGTCTTCGTTGTGTCTATGAGAAGGATTCTGCTTCGCTTATCCGGGGTTTCATCCAAACATGTATCTGCAGACATGCTTCGCTCGTTAGGGAGGTGGGTCGCCCATAACATGTTCATGTCGCTGGGTTTGGTGCTTAAATAAATACACAACAACAATAGCAAACGCAGCGGACGCAATCAGATGCAGTATGGAAAACTGATCGCAGGCCCGAATCCGCGAAGACGACAGCTCCTATACAACATCCTCAGGCCTTGATCCGGGAAGAACCTCAGCCCTCCACCCTCACTCCGGAATCTAGAAGACCTCCACACCCGATACCTTTGCAAAAGGTTTCGTGACTTCCGACAGACCTGGTCGGAGAAGGAAGGCTATGGCCGCGGGCTCAGCGACAACTGCTCTTGAAGTTGACCCCAATTGGAATCGGAGTGAGTCGATAGAGGGGCCCCTGTTCGAGGCATCCTGCGCGTGGCCGGCCTCCCGGAAGTGCGGGCCACAGATTTGCAAGAGTTTCGAGGAGAGCCGGGGTTCCCTATAGAGACTGTACTTACACTGGAAGCGGAGCACACTCAGCAGACGCTCAGCAAGCTAAATCTCACCAGTTGCGGGAGTTGTGTGTTCTACTGTCTAGCTGAATCCAATTCCAACTGACAGCTTGGTTGGGGTGCTCAGTTGGATACCAAGCTTGCCGATGCAACCCCCACATTCTCCGTCCGGCTCTCGGGTTTTTTGGAAGGGTGAAGAGGCAGCTGGCAACTCACGCAGTTGCTGTAGACTTTATAGGTCGAGTCTGAGCCCATGGGTTCATGTGGGCGCCGTGGTGGATACAAGCCAGCCTCGGTGAGGCTACTTACTTTGCACTGTGTGCTTGGTGCCGTTGTTCTTCATGCCTGGCCACATGAGACACCTTTGCTGTCCTTCGCGCGCCTGCGCTTTGCAGGCAGCTCTCCGGCCGGAGGCTGCAGGAGTCTGGGTGCGCGAAGAGCTTCGGCACCTGGTATGGAATTATTTGACAGCGAGGCCTTTGAGAGCCTCTTTCGGAAGGACAACCTCAAGGTCTCTCGCGGACGCATCCCTCAACCAAGGCAAAGACCGTGGAAGGCGGCCACGCGCGGCGGCACCAGGCGATGCACAAAGCCGGTGGCAAAATCTAGCAAGACGAAGAACAAGGTAAAGCGCGGGAAAGTTCAGCCACGCAAACGCCAGGACAAGCAGCAAAGAGCCATGATGAAATTGCAAGCCGCCCGCGAGAAGATTCTTGCAAAACCCCAGCCAAAGCTTTTGACCCAGGCAGCATATCATCTGCCAGGACTCATTCCGCTATACGGCGTTGGCTCGAAAACACCGAAGGCCAAGAGGGCGGCAGCACGTGAAATGATAAGCCTTCTGCGCCGGAACCTCACGATGGAAGAGGAGTTTCAGAGCAAACGCACCTTGGAGAACATGCTCTCGTACAAGATCGACAAAGCCAGGAAACTATACAATTGGACCGGGAAAGACTTTCACAACAGAAGTCTCCCGCCAGATCTTAAAGCAGCGTTCAGCGAAAAGGGCCTTCAGAATGCCTTCTTCCTCGTTTGGCTGAATCTGAAGGACAAGCCGGTGGAACTGCAAGACGAGACTTGGCTGGAGAGGTGGAACATGCCACGATTGTGTAACATGCTGGAAGCGAGACATTACAAGCGAGCAGCTCTCAAAGACATCAGCACAATGACCACCAGCATGGCCGTCTAACATGCCCGCACACATGGGTGGTGTGTGGGCCCTTCTTACTTCATAGGGTCATAGAGTCCAACAGAGGCCTTCATGGTGTTTTGAGCATAAGCGTCCGTACTGACAGAACAACCATCCACACTTCACCTACCTACACAAATGCGCACACACACACGCACATACATATACACATACATCAACAAATAATTACCTACCTATACCTACCTACTTAGCTACCTACCTACTTACCTGCCTGCCTGCCTGCCTACCTACCTACCTACCTACCTACCTACCTACCTACCTACCTAACCTACCTATCTAACCTACGTACATACGACCGTACATACATACATAGATATGTGTGTGTGTAG